ACTGTAAAAGGTAGCTTAGCAAGCCAGGGGCAGCAAGTCAGTAAGCAATGCTCTTCTGTGGTCTGTGTTTCCCTTCCATACCTCCAGACTCCTGCCTTATGTTTCTTTGATGATGGACTATGAAGGGTAAGATGAAATAAATCTTTTCTTCCCAAAGTTACTTTTGGTCATGGAATTTATCACAGCAATAGAAACCAAACTAAAACAGAAAATGGAAACAGGGACATAGAGTATTTCTGTGAGAAACATGATGTTTCTTTTTGAGAAGATTGTTGGCGATTTGGGGTCGATAAAGCTTTTGAGTCCTCAGAACTTAATGGGACTCGTATGGGAGCCTGGAAAGGACAAACGTTAAGAGAAGTGCAAACAAGGGTGACCTGGCCTGCGAAGTTTCAGAGGGAAGCAAAGATTCTATCAGGGCCACCATTCGCGGGGTGCTTTGGATTAAGAATCTGTAGAAGTGGGACTCTCGGGAAGATGGCGCCCTTATACTGGCCACAAGTCGACTGGAGGAAACTTTGACCACAAGCCCTGTGCTCCAAGGCTCTCTTTGCCCCTTAACTCTGCACTCGGATGTCTGACTGCTTAGAGTCTGCATGCACTGTGGGGCACCCCAGGACCAGGAGATGGTGGGTCCGAGGCCCCTAGGCGGGGGGCCCCAGAACTCCCCTCCTCCATCGGGACCTGTCTTTCCCACTTCATTTCCAAATTCTGTATACAGCACCTGCCAAATATACAGTATTCCAATGCAGAAGAGTACGTGAGGCCTCAGGCTTGCATTGACATTGTGATAAGGCACGCGGTCCGACCACCAGCCACTATGACGTCCGGGACTGATTCTGCATTGGGCTGTCCAAGAAGGGGGCTGAGGGATGAGTGGCTGGACAAAGAGACATCACCTCTGCTCTTGGGGCCCCAGCGTACCCCATGGAGCTTCAGGGACATTCTGAGCCAACATCCAGCCTCCTGTGTGGGCAGGACCAGCCAGACACCTTCAGAAGAATGCCACTCAGCAGCTGTCCACCATCTCCTTCCTGCTCTTTGCTGACAGGTATCATCTTTGTGGCCTTCCTGCTACTGCCACTGAAGAACGAACTTGGCATCCAGCTGCCCCCAATCCTGCATGTGTCCCTGGGACAGAAGCTGGTGGCAGCGTACATCTTAGGCCTCCTCACCATGGTGTTCCTCCGGATCTGAGCTCTCAGCGGAACCCACCCCACCCACCCACCGTCTCCTCTGAGGGCAGGGACCTGAAGCAGACACTGCCATGTTTGCACCCGGCCCCTTCTCCCTCCTTTCGGTTGCCCATCCACCAGTTGCCAGCCTCCTCCTCAGCAAACACCCTGGGATTTATACTCATTTTCCAAGTTGAACAAAACACATGAAAAAAAAATCTGTAGAAGCAAAACCTTTGCTGGAATAATTGGTGGGGATTAGCTGGGGCTGATGAATCAACTGTGATTATTAAGAGACCAGGAACTATTGAGGTGAGCTCTTCTGGGAAGTATCCTCAGGGTCCGCACACGAAAGCTGGCAGCCAAATTTGGTAAGATGTGAGAGTCTCCACGTGGTATTGATTTTGGTTTCTATTGTGGTATTAACATAGCAGGTTTGAAGTTAAAAAAGAAAGATTATTCATTAACAGCAATGTAGTTTTCAACAACACCGAGGTTGTAGCGGTGGCAGAAATAGACTAATTCTGTAATTTTCAACCAAGATCAGGTGAATGAATAATTTAAAACGATAAGCTTGATACTTCAGGAGCTTTGTTCTGAGTCTTAGTACATTTAAACATTATTTAAAAAAACAGTGTAAATATGATGAATTGTTGAAGGCATCTGAAAACAGGAGATCAAACAAATGTTACTAGTTTTGCCTTTCTAAACCTTCTATCACTCCAAAATCAGTTTTGGGTGCATTTAGCTGCAGACAAAGATATATTCAGTCATCAGCAACCTTAACTCAGTGGGCACTTGTTGGCTCTGATGGGCCTTTAACAGAACCCCAAGCTCTAGAGTGCTATTACATTGGGGGCCTATCTCAGTTGCTGTAGAATTCTAAGACTGGATTCTATGTGATATTAGATCTTACATAAATTTACTCAGAGAATTTTCTTAGCCAAAGAGGTTGAGAGAGAGAGAGAGACTGGGGTGGTGGTGGTGTCAGTGTGACCGCAAATCCATACTCATCTTCTGAGAGCAGGATTCTTATTCATGAACACAATGGCATCAATAAACTACCTTTAAATAGTGACTTGAAAGTATTAGTCTGAAATAATCCAGGGAGATCAAAGTTTACATTGCAAAAGGGTAGGATCTCTTCCTCTAGATTATGCAATCCACTACGAGATGTTTGATGTTAAAATTGTTAGTGCTAGGAAAATGCCGAACTTTTAAGGTTTTTGAGTGACTGCATAGTTTGGTTGAGTGGGCACCTTGGGATTTAATAGTCATGACTTTTTCTTTTTTAATTCTGTGCTTGGGGCCTGTGAGATGGTTCAGGGGTAAACGCAACTGCTCCAGCCTTCTGATCTGAGTTTGCTGAGTTGGATCACTGGACTCTCATGGTGGAAGGAGAAAACCAACCACTACAAGTTGTATTTTGGCCTGCGTGTGCTGCAGTATGCACGCATCCACACAGTGCACACACAATAAATACAAAAGGGTTTTGTGTTGACTCTTTAAAAGTCTATATTTTACATACGAATAGAATGAATTTGGGGGAGATCATTAGTGTCCTGTGTGATGGAATGTGTTTGGCCTGTGGTTACTCCTAGTATCATCTTGACAAAAAATGTGCAATTTCTGCATTAAAAAAATGAAGGAAATATTTTTCATCAGCTCTGAAATTCTGGGCCTTTGTCTAATATGTAATAGACTCTAAATATTGTTGAATAAGTGATTTACATTATATAAGATCCCATATTTAATTAGTAAAAAAAAAAGGGGGTTCTCACAACCTTTTTAGTTAATTGACCAACAAAAGAAGGAGCGGGAGAGGGTGAGGCGGGGGAGAAAACTGTATTTTTGGCAAACATTTTAATTTTTGCCATTAGGATTTTTATTTTTTACTAGTTCTTTCAGTTTTGAGATTTTAATATAATTACATTATATTTCTTTCCTTTTCCTCCCTCTAAGCTCTTCTCTCTTTTAAATTCATGTCTTTTCTTCATTGCTGTAACATGTTCATATCATGTCAGTATAATGCTACTCGTATGCATGCATGTATGTTTTCAGGACTGACCATTTGGTACTGGTGAACATTTTCAAACTGGGCAATTTTCAAAAGGAGAAGCTATTTCTGTGTATCTTAATCATGTAAGCTGCAAGTTTTCCCAATTCCTCAGACTACACAAGTTTTCTAGTCAGGCAACCCAGGCACACAAATTGTGTGTGTACCTGTGGTGTTGTGTGTGTGTGTGTGTGTGTGTGTGTGTGTGAGCAGGTACATACATGTAATAAGAGTGTGTGGTGGCCAGAGGTTATTGTTAGGTATCAATTGTTTGAACTGAACCTGGAATTCACCGATTTGGCTAGAGCCACCAACTAGACCGCTCCAGGGATCCACCTGTCTCTGCCTCCCCGGTGCTAGGATTCCAGACCCATCTTACAGGTGCTGGGGGTCTGGACTTGGGTTCTCAGGCTTGCAGTGGGAAGCACTTCACTGACTGGGCCATTGTTAATCCCAATGGCAAGAATGAGACCACTGCCACAATTGGAGCCAATTTGAAGCAAGCTTGATTTTTTTTTTATTGGAGTGCACCCAAGAGCTGGCCAGTGACTGCCTCCTAAGTCCGGTTGCAGAAAGCAGCCCTGAATCCATTTCTTGGGCCCCTTTTAAGGAGTAAAATCATGAGGGGTTTTACGGAAGAGAGACAATGAGGCAATAATGAAATACAGAAAAAGAAAAATATATATAAAAAAAAAAAACAACCCACATCATGAGGTCACCATGTGATTAGGAAGGGTTCAGGGAGGGTATGGAAGGGTCAGGGAGGGCTAGGGAGGGTCAGGGTATTCTCAAAAACAAGTCAAAAGCCGGGCGGTGGTGGCGCACGCCTTTAATCCCAGCACTCGGGAGGCAGAGCCAGGCGGATCTCTGTGAGTTCGAGGCTAGCCTGGGCTACCAAGTGAGTTCCAGGAAAAGGCGCAAAGCTACACAGAGAAACCCTGTCTCGAAAAACCAAAAAAAAGAAAAACAAGTCAAGGTCATGGGTTGGGGGAGGTCAGGTTCCAGGAAACAGAGAGCAACTCAGCCCTTTCAGTGAGTAGAAGCTTATTTTTAACAATACAGTATAATGGCTCCTGCCTTCAAAATGGAGTCAGGCAGGTTCCTCACCATGCCCCAGCCTCACTATCACCAACATTCTTTAATGGCTCAAAGAAATGAAAATAAAGTCTAAAGAAATACTTTGTATATTTGACTTGATTGTATTATATTAAATTGCACATATTCCAAGTTTTTGACAGCGAACAATGGCAATTTATATGGCACAAAAAAACATATATTTAGTATTAAACACTGTGTTTTAGAAATAGTAGCAACAGGGTTTCCACAGTCTCCCAGTTCTTATCATCTCGGGCCTGTCAGGGGTGTGGTGAACACAGCGTTCTAAAATATCAGAATCCTGCGTTTCTCTTATATTGCAGTAGGCAACTTGTGGTTTACTAACAGGTATTAACTGGTAGTTTTGTTTTGCCAGTTATTCTAAAGGGCTAGTATGAGTAATTACACGTTTTGTAAAAAGAAATAACTAGGTTATTAATGTCCCTCTTTCAGGTCGGCCTTAACGTTTCTAACTATAGAGAACACAGGCTTCTAGGCCCTAATCCCACAGAACCTAGCTTTGTGACAAACTGTCAAATTGTGCTTCCTGTGTGCTGCCTAGTGAACCTGTGAACTGCCTGTACAACATTTGAATAGCAAGGCCTTCATTTATGACTTTTAAGTAAAACTCAGTTTAGGCATGAGATAAATGTCCAAAGCCACTTTCTTGGCAAAATTACTATGATAGCACGTCTCAAGTCGGAATCCGCTGTGACTTCGTTGCTGCGGCCTTCAATCTCTGGATCACTAACTTGGAGGAATTTATTCACTCTCCCTTCTTTGGAACTGGACTGCAATCTAGCCCGCCAGGAGGGCAAGGGTCGCCTGCTGCTGCTGCTGCTGCTGCTGCTGCTGCTGCTGCTGCTGCTGCTGCTGCTACTGCTGCTGCTGCTGCAGCTGCTTGCTTCCCCGTCCTTATCTCAGGCGGCCCGTGCAGCTAAACAAACTCTGCTGGAGGTCTTGATAGGCAAATTTGTGAGCCCCTATCTAGGAGCTCAAGCCAACTCCCCCCAACCCCCACTTGCCTGTGTTCCCCTCCGGCGCCCCCGAAAGCGCAGCCTCGGGCAGCGCTGGGCAGGTTCGGACCCCCCTCCGGCGACCTCTCGGCGAGCCTGTGCCCTAACCGCCGTCTTTAGCTGGACCGCGGCCGCCCAGGGAAGAGTCGAGCCCGAGGACCGACCGGGCCCGGTCTCCATCGGCAGCAGCGGCTTTCGGAGGAGCTCGCTCCGGCAACTCGGGCACCGGGTCCTCCAGCCGCGAAGATGTCGGCCCCCAACGTCAGCTTGCTGCGCGAGACTTCCCGGCAGGTCGTGGCCGGAGGGGCTGCAGGTAAGGCGGCCGGCTCCCCGCGCGCGAGCCGCTCCCCCACCGCACCACCCCGCAACGTCCCCAAGCCTGGCCTTCCAGCGAAGTTTTGTGGGCGTCCTCCTAAATCTTCCACCCAGTTAGCGAAGAGCAGAGGAGGCGAGCAGCCGGTGGTGGCGGCCGAGTCCTCTCTGGGGCGCAGTCCCCACTTAGCTGCTCTGCTCCCGGGTTCCTCCTGCTTTTTTCTGTTTCTATGGCGTGAAAAGCGTCGCCAGTCCCTGAAACTTACTGGGACTTCGAGGAAGCTTCCCACGCCCCACTTTTTCGCCTTCCTTTAGTCAGCTGTTTTTACGTGAAAAGGATCCAGTTCCGTCTTACTTAACTTTCTTAGCGATTTTCTTCCAAGCTCCAAGCGAGAGAAGATCGTAACATAAATCTTGCCTCTCTTCACAGGAATTCTTACTGGATACTGTGGTTTTTTTTTTTTTTTGGGGGGGGGTATATGCATGCTATAAATAGGTATATTAAAATTAAACGCGCACGCCAGCATATATGAACATCTTTGATGTCATCGACTCACATTAATTTGTGGAGAGCTATCGGGGGCGGGGGGGGGGGGAGGCTTTACAAAAAGAGCTGTTAAAACCCGTCTTTGCAATAATTACTGTCAAATGCAGCTGGAGGAAGTTGCTCACCATCAAGTTATGTGCATACATTTTGAAGATACTGTAAGTTGGTTGGAAACTTGATCTCATATACCATGATGCATTTTAATTATAAATATATAATTTAATTACCATAATTAACTTAGGCCATAACAATTTTGTAAGTGTAGTTATTCTTAATACATTTTATTACGGTAACAATGGTAAATAATATTAAGAATGACTAGACAATGGCCAATACTTACTTTGATTAGTAACATTTGTTTTCAAGAAAATTTAAACTTTTTAATAATGGATTCCTTCAAATTATGACTAGTTATATGTCATGAACTGGCTGCATCTCAGGGATACCATAAGCATCCAGATTATGTCACTTAGAATCTGCATATTTTCTTAAGATGATATAGTTATGAAAATGAGACATTTGTTTTTATATGTATATATTTTATATGTATATATTTTATATTTTTATATGTATATTATATATGCTTGATTCCAACTCTGTGATCCTGAGCAAAGAACACTCAGCTAGATCAGAGGGAAAGTGAAGCTGGCTAAGCATCATAAACTATGCCCAGCGACTTACAGGCATCGCTGTTGGTTTGTATAATCACAGTGTTAGGCATAGTAAAACTCAACGTCAAAAAGCAGACCAGACTCTCATCCTATTTATGCTAAATCTTCTTGGATAAGCATTTGGCACTGATGTCTTGATGCCGTCATAGATTCTCATCAATGTAAATGGGAATTTGTAGCTAGAGTTTTCCTGCCTGGCCCACAGTCAGGGCAAATCTCTCTCACCTGCCAGTCCCACAGCCGCTCAGACCCGACCAAGTAAACACAGAGACTTATATTGGTTACAAACTGTATGGCCGTGGCAGGCTTCTTGCTAACTGTCCTTACAGCTTAAATCAATCCATTTCCATTAATCTATACCTTGCCACATGGCTCGTGGCTTACCGGCATCTTCACATGCTCTTTCTCATCATGGCGGCTGGCAGTGTCTCTCTGACTCAGCCTTCCACTTCCCAGCTTTATTCTCCTTCTTGTCCCGCCTATACTTCCTGCCTGGCCACAAATCATCAGTGATTTATTTATTGACCAATCAGCAACACATTTGCCATACAGACATCCCACAGCATGAATTAATCAGTTAATATAAATAAATGGTAAGCCATTTATAAGATAAATTTAAAGTAGGCTGGTTGATTTATACAGTTTATATTGTGGCGTTCTTGATACATAAGAAGGGTAATTAATACTTTCATCATCCTGAAAGTCATACTTTCTTCTTGGCCTTTAAAAGCATATTAATAAAATTGTATATTTAGTGAAACTGTAATAATACAGGTCAATCCTGTTACTTGTACTACAGCAAGGGCCAGAAAGAAAAAAAAAACACCTTTGAGAGGTAGAATTTTTATAGAAATAAGGTGCATTTGAATCTCTGACACTAGACTTCTGACACTAGCATCTGTCTCTTTCTGAGTGTTATAATCCTCTTCTGGTTGCAGAGGTCAAAAATATATTCTAAAAGAATGTTCTCTTGAGGAAAAAAGTAAAGAAACTGGAGGAATTTGTTGGGAAGATCCAAGTGTCTCATGGCATTCAAGGTCTAGTGTCATTTCTTGGAGAGACCGGAACACTCAGGAGAATGTGACATTTCTTCATCTCATCTATGCTAGGTGGTCCAATATCCTCAAGGCAGGAGAATAGTGACTAATACTAGTGCCACTATATCCCTACTCGGTGTTACTGTGGTTTGCCATGCTTCCAAACGTATTGACTGGTAAAAAAAAAATAGTCAAGCCCAAATGGATAGAGATTGTTTGTTAGTCAAACAGACAACAAAGTCAAATCTTTATGGCGTTAGTTCCAACTGTGTAGTTAGTTGGAGTTCCAGATAAGAATGTACAAAGGAGACTACTAGATCTGTATCTGGCCTCTGCAGCTGATGGTTTCCTTCTAAACAATAGCCAAAGTGTTTTATAGACTTTAGCTACAATCAAAAACTGTCACCAAAATAGGAGCGAGATGGAAAGTCTTGTGTTTAAGTAAAACTAAGATGATGGATAAGAAGCTATATCTAGCATCTTTCCACTAGAGTAGGAGAAAAACTACCCTTCAGCAGCTTACCAGGTGGGATGCTTATCTCCCCTCCCCCTTTAATGTGTGTGGGTATCTCGCCTTCAGGCATGTCTGAGCTCTGTGCATGTGTGTGTGCGGTGTGTGTGTGTGTGTGTGTGTGTGTGTGTGTGTGTGTGGTCCCCAAAGAGGCCACAAGGGGTGATAGACCTCCTGAAACTTGAGTAACAGGTGGTTGTGAGCCACCAAGTGGGAATCTAATTCTGCTCCTCTGGAAGATCTTCATCACTGAATTATTTCTCTAGCCCTTATCTTCTTTTCAACAAGGAGCAATCTGGGTCTTCTGTCAAATAGACTGGTGTGCCATGCCAGCTGCCTTATGTGGAGATGTGTAAGGCTGCAAGGGTGCCAACCTGACATATTTTCTGAGGTCATCTTAGGGCCTGGAGAAGTTTTGTTTCTCACAGTTAACTGCTATTTTGAGTTTTTCATTCCATTGGTTAGAATTTGGTGTCCAACAGCTTCCAAATATTCATGCTCTTGAAAGACATTTCTGGAGCAGAGTTGGGGGTTTTTAATTCAAAATAGGGGTAGATTCCAAATTACCCAATGTTGATAGGAACCCACCTCTATCAATTAACTATAGCTATCCCCATTGGATGGTGGTACATGTGGCTTGGGGAATTTCAGAGGAAAGCTAGAAAAACTAGATACACCATGGAAAGGGTAATAAGTTTATTTTACAATGTATCTCTCTTTTACTGTGTGATATCTTGTGCTGTTTGCCTTTAAAAGACTAAAGGTATTGATGGTTAGCAGTTTCTTAGCATGCATCTAAAGCCTAGTTTAGGGCTTATAGTTATAGCCAGATCTTGTAGTATATATCTAGTTATTGCTACCAGTAGTAACTTTGTCTTACAGGTTGTGGCCTGTAAGTGGTACAGGTTGTGCTCAAGCAAGTCAATATGCACTGGATTTTTAAAAAAATAACTTTAGTTTTAGGGTTTTGTGTGTGTGTGTGTGTGTGTGTGTGTGTGTGTGTGTGTGTGTGTGTATGCACAAATGTGTGTGCCCACAGAAGCTAGAAGTTTGATTCTCTGGATCTGGAGTTACAGGTAACTGTAAACTGCCCTACATGGGAGCTTAGACCCGAACCTTGGTCCTGTGTAAGAGCAGCAGGTACTCTCAACTTCATCTTTCCAGCCCTTGTATTAAATTTGTTTTATGGAATAATCTGTGCTCTCAGGCTTTCTGGCTTATGCACATGGTCATTCTCCTTAACCTGTCATAGGACTTTTCTATCTAAACCTCAGAACCTTTGGGCTGTGAGAGCTGCCAGATGTCCTCATAAAGGGAACTCCTAAGTTGTGTCCACAGAGAATCCTCTTTCATGGCACCAACTATAAGGCCTTCCTCCTGCTTCCCAGGCTCTTATTTCTGGCTCTCCAAGTCTAACTCTTTTGTAGAAGGCCTCCAGACTCATTTCTCGCCGTGGACCGCAAACACAATACCTCTGCCAGAGGCCACTGATGTACTCCCCAGCCTCCAGCTAGCGACTCCTTCCTGCAGTGGGCAGCCTCCCCCTGGTGCCCTGTAGGTGTGCTTGACCTTCACATCTTTATCAATTTACTTTATTTTACTTTGTGCCTTTCCCGCAAGCCCGTTTGCTTTTATTCAAACTATTCTTTAAATCTATGTTCTTAGCTTCAAATAGTAGCATAATGTTGAAATGTGTGAGTCCTAGACGTCAATGGTGAGAACTCAAGGCCCAACATTGCAGAATGGATAAAGATGAGGGTCAGAGATCATCCTTGTTACTCAGAGCATTTCCTGTGGATGAACAGTAAGAAATATGATGCCAGCTGGGTCTGGTGACACTCACCTTTAATCTCAACACTTGGGAAGCTGAGGCAGGCTACTCTTTGTTGAGTTACAGGCCAGCGTGGTCCTCTATCTAAAAAAGCAAACAGTAAACAAATAAGTACAATGGCATCTGGAAATTTGTTTAAAATGTTGGACTTTGGGCTTCTTCCAAGTGTGATACATCAGAATCTACATTTTAGATAGGCTTCAGGTTATTGGCTTTTTAAAGTACTCTGTTAGACCTTTGAGCAAAAGTACTCCACAGAGTGGCAGGGTTCAAGCCATATGGCAGACAGTGGCAAGTAAAATGGTTTTGGCTTTCACTGTGGGTCAGAGTGGACATGGAGGTGAGAAGAGAATGAATTCTGTAGCCCTTATAATGTGCCCTCTTGTTAGCTTTCAGGCATATTT